ACTTGTCTTGTTCTAGGACATCACAGCACAATTTTGATAGCCAAACAGCTCCAGAGGCCACACTGTACTCTGTTAGAAATACTGAGTCAGGAGCTAGAGAGATGACTGATTTATTAAGAGCACTGGCTGTTCTTCCAGAGGTCCTGAGTTCAATTCCCAGCAACTCTCTTCTGGCATGCAGGCATACATGCAGGCAGAACACTGTGTACATAATAATTAAATCTTAAAAAAAAGAAAGAAAGAAAGAAAGAAAAAGTTGTTCCAATGATTTGCCTTCAGTGTCTTGAATATTTTGTGTATCTTATGTTTTTATCCCATTGGATGATCCTCATAGTTTTATGAACTCTATAGAAAATGCTAATTCGGTTTTCTCTGTTCCTTCAGACAATTGCCTACAGCATTTTGTGGGACTTGAAGTTTCTGATGAGGTAGGTGCATTTTGGGTGGTAAGAATAGAGTCCTTGGCCCTTTCATCTGAGCACCTGTAGGTTAGTGCTACCTTCTGTAGTTCCCACTGTGCCTCTTGAGCAGGGTTTCAATGGGCACAGCAGGGCTTTGCCCTATAGCTGGAATTCTGGCTTGATAGTGAGGGAGGGGTCCTGTCTCCTAACCCCATATTGCATGGGTGTGTAGACTGAGGGTCTGAGTGGAAGTAGGTAGAGACCAGAGTTTGGTTCCATGTACATCCACTTTAGTTTGTTGGTTCAACTTGAGGCTGGTCCTTTGCACTGAGCCTGGCCTGGTCCCATTGAGTGGTGGTTTGTTTTAGAGAAAGGGGAGGGTGGGCTTTGGTGTGCTCTGGCTTGGTGGACAGACACCTGGTAAATGTAGGTGACATTTCTGTTCCTCAGGAACCTGGCTTTGGGAGGAGGTTTGCTGCTGCTCTTGGCAGAGTCCCGCTCAGAAGGGAAGAGCATGTTTGCTGGTGTTCCTACCATGCGTGAGAGCTCCCCCAAGCAGTACATGCAGCTTGGAGGAAGGGTCCTGCTGGTCTTGATGTTCATGACCCTCCTTCACTTTGATGCCAGCTTCTTTTCTGTGAGTACACTAAGCCATGTGCTAACTGTTGACACAGTTGTGCCTGAGGGGACAAGCCCATGTTTGTAAATGACCCTCTTCTTTACAGACTCCTGACTTCTCTACTTCAGAGTTCAGTTCACACTGTTGGTCAATACATTCTCAATTTTATATGTCACACATTAGAAGTTGGTAGAAGGGCATTATTGGAGGAGGGGAGGAGTGTTTTCCAGCATGAGTGTCTAGGTGAGTATAGATGAATGGACTTACGATATATAAAGACCAGGGTAGCACTTCAGGTGTTATTCATCTTCCCCAAATATGGTGCTTGGGGGCTGAGAGATGGGTCATTGACTAAGAGTGATTTCTCTGCAACAAATTAGAACCAGACTCCAAATCTTAGCATGAGAGAAACTGGTCAGGCATCCAGCACATGCCTGCAATCTGACCGTTGAGGAGAGCAGAGGCAGGTTGTTTGGATTGCTGCTTCCACCCTACCTGAGATGAGCCGTAAGTTCAGAGAGAGATCCTTCTTCAAAAAGGAATAGCTGGAGAGTGATAGAAGATATCCAATGCCCTCTTCTGGCCTCTGCCCTCCCATACATATGCATATACTCAAACACAAATGCAAACAACTCTTCTCTCTCTCTCTCTCTTTTTATCTCTCTTTTCCTCCCTCCCTCTTCCTTCCTCCCTTCCTTCCTTTTCATCTTCTTTCTTCATCCTTTTTTTTTTTTTTTTTAATGTTACTTAGCCAGATGTGGCACAGACCTGAACTCCTAGTGCCTGGAATATAGAGGCAAGAGGATTTTAAGTTCAAGGCTAGCCAGAGTTACATAGAGAAAAATCATCTTTCATTCTCTATACATGGCCCGAGAGCTTTTCACATGTTCTCACATTTTCCTTGTTATAAATTCAATCTTTACATGCTTGTTTATTGTAAACAGAATCAAAAGTAGCCACATACAACCTTTGCTGCTGATAGGTTTCTTTTGCCAGATATAAGTTCTGTAAGGTCTTAAGCATAGGCACAATGAGCTGAGTTCATTGCAGCTTCTTTTATTATTATTATCATTATTATTTTGGTTTTCTTTGTGTAACTCTGTCTGGCCTGGAACTCACTCTGTAGACCAGACTGGCCTAGAACTCAGAGATCCAACTGCTTCTGCCTCCTGAGTGTGGGGATTAAAGGCGTGCACCACCACAGTGCCCATCCTTCATTGCAGTTTTCTAACAAGAATGACTTTTGCAAACCCTTGTTTCATGTTTACTGCACATGCAACAGGGTGCTGGCCAAGGCCAGTGAAGTCCCAGTCTTTTTAGCTCTTCCTAGAGTTGCAGTTGCTGTTCCATTCATGACAGTATGCTTCCCAACTTCTGACCACATTACTGACCACATTACCCTGTTCCATAGTCAGGTGCTACTTGAGCAACAGCCTCATTTTTTGACATCAGTTTTCTCAGGTCATTTTTTGTTGCTGTAACTAAATACCACAGATAGGGCAATTTATAGAGAATGATATGTTATTTAGCTTATGGCTCTGGAAACAGGGAAGCCCAAGGTGAAGAGTCTTGTGAGGGTCTTGTGGTAAGGACTCTACGAATACCGAGGGAATGCAGGGTATCTTATGAAGAGACTGAGGAAAAAGCATTCATTCACAGCCTAATTACTCCAAAATCCTAACTGGCAAACACCACTGATAGGTTTTGGGGGATTTTCCAATTTATGGTATTTTTCAACACATGTAAAGCCATAGCTTCTTTAATATAGAGTTCTTCTTAGAATCGGTATTTAATATTGATTAATTCCCCCCCTCCCCGTAGAGGTTTTAGGATTCTGTGCTCCCTCTTCTGCCTACCATTCTCAAACTCTCATCATGTCCTAGTGAGAGTCATATGAGCCTGGCTCAGATAAAATGTACCCAGCTTTCTTCCTGTGACCTCTGACCTTTAGTCTGTATTTTTTTTTTTCCCCTTTGAATCTGTACAGATCGTCCAGAACATTGTGGGCACAGCTCTGATGATCCTAGTAGCTATTGGTTTTAAAACCAAGCTGGCAGCTTTGACTCTTGTCGTCTGGCTGTTTGCCATCAACGTGTATTTCAACGCCTTCTGGACAATCCCGGTCTATAAACCTATGCATGACTTCCTGAAATATGACTTCTTCCAGACCATGTCAGTGATTGGAGGCCTGCTCCTGGTGGTGGCTCTTGGCCCAGGGGGTGTCTCCATGGATGAGAAGAAGAAAGAGTGGTAACAGACAGATCCCTCCCCTCCCTGGCTGAGGCACAAGGCCCTGGACTGGTTCAGGGTAGAGTCAACAAACTGCCAGAGTTTATGTGTCCTCTTCCCTTCCCTTCTTTTGGTAAAGGCACAGATGTTTTGAGAACTTTATTTGCAGACACCTGAAAATTGAAGGTAAAATCTGCTTTGGAAACAGTCTGGAGTCTGACTATCCTGAGCTGGCCAGCTGGATGGTCATTCCTTAGCCAAGACTTCGAGTAGACAGTGTGGTGGGCTATGGCCTCAGTCCCATTGTTGAGTTTCTTTTGGGGGGTGAGGGCCTTCAAGTTGTACTGAGCTGTACTTTATCATTCAAAGCAATTTCCCTTTTAGTTTTTAAGTTTACATCCTTAGCTCAAACTACAAAACTTCTAAATGACTTAGGATGGTCCAGCCAAACACCAGTTAAAACCTCCAGTTCAGAATCTTACCAGTGGCCCCAGTATTGCTTCTGCCCCTATATTTTATAGGATCAGTGAAGATGCTAGAGAAACCTCAAGCCTAGAGAACAGTACAGTATTGGAGATGTTTCTGCTACTGCTGGCCCAAGTACTTGATGCCAGCTGGCTGAATGCTGTTTACTGGGTGAAAGGTACCCTGTGAGTTTTCATGGCTCTAAGCAGGGATGGGTCAGGGTTGGGAAGTTCTTGGAAAGCTGCTTTGGGTACTATGATCCTCTCAGGCTTGGTGGTGGGAAGGGCAGGAGAGCAAGCTGCTCATGGGATGGCCCACCAAGGAACCAGCCTGGGGAGTAGTGATGCCATGGGGCCCAGAAGTGAGGTGCCCCAGTACTGAAGATGCCCAGGCTCAACCCAGTTACCTCACACTTGACCTTCTCCGAGCAAGGCCTGGACCCCACAGGCCATGCTACTCCCAGCTTAACTCCCTGTTTCAGGCTGAGTTTACCCCATCATCGACAGCCCTGATGCCACCATTTCCCTAAGGCTGTTGGCTTGCTCAGATTTTTGTCAACCTGCTCAGCTGGATGCAGCCAAGATACTTTTTACAATTTGTGATGCCTTACCAATTTGATCTCAGTCCTGTATTTAAAGTTTTCTAACATTGCCTTACACCGTGTTTCTCTTTTTGCGGGGTGGGGGTGGGGGATGTCTAATGCTGTGGTCCTGCTCATCTGCATGGTAGTGCCACGAGGGTAGTTGGGTTCCTTCTGGACTTCCCCCCAGGTCTATTGGAGGGAACAGGTAGACAGGCTTAGAACCCCTGAAGGGGAGCTGGCAGCTCATCTCACTCTTTGGTGCAGAGTCCTGGAGGTCCTCCTTTCTGGCATTAGCTGGATAGACAGGACTGTATCCTCTGAGTCACCTTGGTTAATCCTGCCTCTTCCCTTTGCCTCTCTGGCTCTGAATTCACTTCTCAACACCTAGTTGATGTTCCGCAGCCTTATGGCCTGCCTACTCCTCATGTGAGTTCCAGCATTGGCTCAGGCCATGACATTTCCTTACCATCCAGTCCCTTGACAAGGAGAGCTGCTTCAGTGTATATCCATCTGCTCCGTTACCTGCAGTGGCAGCCCCATGATATTCCAGTTTGTGGAATGGGGCAGAACCTAGGAGGCAAGTGCATGCCTCTCAGTAGTGGCCCCCATCCCAAGTGTGCCCTGGCCCATCTATCAACTTTTTGTGGGCTATGACTGGGATGGGAGGGGAAAAAAATGGTCTACACATTGGTTTGGCAAAATTGTTTCTGAAAATGCTTTAGCTTTATGTGGGAATAGGTATAAACCTCATTTTTATGCTGTATTTTATATCTTAGTTGTGTTTGAAAAATGTTTTGATCTTTGGAAACATCAAAATAAATAATGGCATTTGTGGTATATAGTGTGAACCTATGTGGTGACCAGCCAGGGTGGGGCCCTGGCCAAGCTCAGGATGCTACAGTGAGCTACATCAGCAAGGGCCACTGAGGACCATGCACAGAGAGGGAATCTTCAAGTCCCTGCTGTTGCCATCTTCTGAACACAACCTCCAGGCCCACTCTGGATAACAGCCAAAGTCAAGATATGAGTGCCAGTTCCGAGTTTCTCTGCATGCTTCATTTCCCCAGCTGCTTAAAGGAACTGAGGTTCTTGGGCTTGTGGTGATGATGATGGCTCTTGAACTTCTTGGTCAATGAGGTGAACTGCTTCTGTGAAAGTAGAAAAGTGTCCAGGGCCTTTGCAAGTCCACAGAGAAGGTGCTGTATGTCTAAGGCTGAGGAGGAATCTGATTTCTCAACAGTATGGGGCCAGGGAGAGGGCAGCATGGTTCAGTTTTGTGCTTTTCTGACAGAATCCCCACTCCTGCCAAATAGGGACTGAGTCCTGTGTTATAAGGCACAAAGCTCAGAGCTGAGAAGCAGGTCAGGACCTGCTCCTGAAGACCTTCTGAAGTGGTCTTGGCTTCCATATTTACAGGCTGTTGCCTGACAGTGCACCTGCAGAATTTGCTAAAACCATGGGCAACGCTGGCTGTCTACTCAGCCTGGGCCATGTAGCCCTCCTGACCTCAGCACTTTGCAGCACACTACTCACCTTCCTGAGTTTACGGCCCCTCTTGTGGTCCACTTTGGTCTCTCTTCTCTCTCCAGTGTCCTCTCTCAACTGCTCTGGCTTCTCTTCCTCTTGGTCTGTCAGAAAGTCTTCAGGAATGTCATTCTCAGGCTTGCCCAGGTCTTTTTTTGTGAACAGCTCAGCTAGAAGGAACAAATATCCTGGCTGAGCAACGCCACAGGTAAGCACTGCTCTCCTGGGAAATATGGCTAATAAAGCAGGACTACAAGATACTTAGCAGGAGACAAACATGAAGGCAGAAGTCGGGCTGTGCCTACTTACGTGGATATAGGTCTGTCATGCTGTCATCACTCAAGGATTCTCCTTCATCACTGGAAGCTGGCTCCCAAAAAGCTGTTCTCTGGCCAGATAGCCCATCTCCATCCCTGTGGTCCTCCCTCTTTCTCTTCTTGTGCAGTAGGCAGGCAGGGACATACTCTACACCTTGTTTCTGACACTCCTCATCTAAGAGATGAACAAGTTTACACTGGATCCCCCTTGGTGTGGAGCTAAGATATGGGCTACATTGTGGCAGAATTTTATTCCTTTGTCCTACTGGACAAAAATGGACAATGTGGAGGCTGTGGAGCTCAGGGGAAGCTGCCTGGTCTCACCTCTCGAACTTGGAGCTGGAGTGAGACTTCAGGGAAGGCATTGCTAGGGTCACCACTTCTGTCCTCAGGTACTAAGGTCTGAGCTTCTTAGGCTTCCCATTTAGTCCAGCATCATCTCCTTGGGAGGGGGACACCAGCTCTAACCAACATTGCTCTTGTGGCCTCCTCATGAGTATCAGTATGAAGTCTCTGCCCAGTGTACTCAGCAGGCCAATCTGAAGTGGCCTCACTGCCTTCTGGCTCTTTGGCACATCTTTATAGTTCTCTCATGGGGTCCCTGCCCAGCACCTCCCTGCCACAACCTGGCAGATGATAGCCAACAAAGGCACATCCAAGCCTTAGCTGCCACCTGTCAGTGCAGCCCAGGTGCCAGCTCCAGGAGCTCCAAGATATGTGGGAAGATCTGGCTGTGCTGTGCAGGATAGAGCCTACACATTCCTTACCAACCTCTGAATTCTTGCCTGTTGGGTTGGTTCCCTGAAGCCTCCCTCTCATCCCCAGCCTCTGCAACCCAGCCCCCCAAGTCCTCCTTGCCAACAAGGCCTGGTTCTGCCTAACTCCCTCACCCCAGCAGCCTCCAAGTTATCTAATCTCAGTCACTTTCTTACCCTCATTTCCTTATGGTGACATGGGAGACCTTCATTCACCTCCCTCGTGCTCAAGCTGGCCTCATCTCTCAACTCCTGGCCTGGCACCATCCTCCCTAACCCACCTGGAAGTTAAAATAACCACAGGAGTCCCCACTCTCAACCACTTTTGATGCCTTCCTACCCTTGGCTGTATCCATCAAACACCTGAGGCCTGTCAGCCAGTCCCTTTCCTGCTCGAGCCATCATCCCTTTAGCTGCTAGTCCCCTCATCCTCTGCAGCCTAGAGGAGTGTTTGTCCCCTAGGTCCTGAGAAAAGTCCCCAGGGTGCTCCTGCACAATCAGATGACTCTGGACCTGTTCTGGAGTTCTGGCACTGCCGACTCAGCCTGAGAGCTACCAGGAGATTGTTCCTGCTGTTGCACAGCAGGTCCCCATACCACTCACCCCAACTCCTCCCCAGCCCACCTGTGGCTTTACAGGGGTGAGGTCAGGAACCACTGGCCCTCTCCTTATGTGCAAACCCAACCAAATATACCAACAATGGACAATAAAGGATGATCAAGGCACCTTTCTGGCTTTTGGGGACATGGGACATGCAGCCTAAAGCCTGAGCCTCTGGTGGTGACTTACATTGATGAAGAGCTCTCTGATACTTCCTGCCCTGGGTGTGTCTCAACACATGCTCTGGGGACTTGTTGATGTGCCTCAGGGTGAGTTTGCAGAACAATTGGTGCCTGTAGGGCAAACAGATAAAGAGGAACAGTGTATACCAAGGACCAGACCTATGGGCTCCATCATGACTGCAAGCTGCAAACACCTGGGATTCTGCTGGGAATGCTCTGTATTTAGTCTCGATGTCTGGACTTTGTCCCAAACGCAGGGAATTAAAACCTGTAATCCCATTATCCAGGAAGCAGAGAGGCAACCTGATCTGAATTGAGGTCAGCCTGGTTTTCACAGGGAATTTCAGGCCAACTAAACTACACAGGCTTACTTTCAGAAACAGCTTCCCAAACAATTCCACTTAGCATCTGGGATTAAGGACCCAGATTGTCACCCAAGAAAAAGAAGCTGCAGTTTCACATTGCTCCAGGGTTTGTGTATGGGGAAACAACCCAGTAGTTATTCCATATGAGGACATATCAACCACACAACCATAAGGACCCCAAACGGTGAAAGTGGCACTGTCCAGCCTGGCCTCCAGTGACTATATTCAAGGGCAAGGTGATTATATGCTCATTACAGGGGCACGGGCTCTGCACCCAGGTGTTTGCTGGCCGGCCACCTACGTACGTATTCTTTGTGCTGGGCACGATGTGTGGCTCGAACGCTGTGTAATCAAAGGCCGAGGAGACTCTGGACAGCCGCTGGTACTTCTTGCCGCGGGTGTAGACCTGAAGGTCCGGCAGACGACAGGGTAGCTCATGGCCAGTTAGGGAGCAGCGCACCTGTGGATGGACCGCCTGTCAGCAGGTGGTTCTTGCCAGCCCCGCCCTTCCCCTGCATTGTCCCCGGGGTTCCACTGCTTTCCAGGCAAAGTACTTCGGGGTCCAACTCCTCCCCGAAATGGTTCTTCCGGGTCCCACTCCTCCCGAGTTTTGTTCCTTCCAGCCCCTACTCCTCCCGGGTTCGCCCCGGACCTTGCCTTGTGAGTGTTGGGCAGAAGACTTAGGCTCGGGTGCTGGCGCAGGAAAGCCCGCACATCAGTGGGTAGTTCGTCCATGATGCGAGATGCCTATCTGAGTCCGCTGCTCCCACGTGGGTCAGAGCGCCGTCCCGGAAGTAGATTTATCTGTCCCGGAAGTGTTCAAAGACGGCTGCTGTGATGGCTTTTGCTGTGCTGCGGCAGCGGATAATGCGTTGGCCCCAATGGTCCTACGCGGGGCTGGTGAGTGTGGGACCCGGGAGGACCCTGCCCAAGAAGAGGGGCCGGGAGAATCGAGCCCAGAATGGAATGGGACAGAAGAGTACTTTGCCCAAAGGATTTGCATGGAGTGGAGCGGGACCAGGGTGGGCCTTGCCTAAGAGAACCTAGGCTTGGGTGGTGTGGAGTTTGGAAGGACCCTGCCTCGGACCTAACCCGAAGTTGAGAGGGGCTGGGTTGGACAGTGTCAGGTGCTTGCGCTTGGCGCCCCAAAGCTGAGCCCCGCGGCTTGTCCGGTCCCTGCAGGCTCCGCTCCGCGTTGCCAGAAGGAGCGTCCTCGGGCTTCCTTTCCGCCCTGGTAAGAAGGGCTCAGACTTGGGTGCGGTTGGGGCACCTGCCTTCATTCAGCCCGCAGTGTATTGTATTGTATTATTGGGTGTATTGTATTGGGAATGGATTGGGCACAGGTACTGATAATTGTCCTTCAACATCTTCTGTGGGCACAGCCTAAATCTTGTCGAGGAATTGGCCACCCAGTTCTGTTTGTTCTAGGGCTTCTGACCCCATGCCAGTATTGTCAAACTCCCTCCAGGGATGGTCTGGAGTCCAAGCAGATGCTGCAGTTCTACAGCTAAAGCAGCCACCACTAAAGCAGAGGACGATTCTTTTCTCCAGTGGTTCCTGCTTCTCATCCCTGCTACTGCTTTTGGCCTGGGGACTTGGCAGGTGAAGACTGGGCTCTAATTTGTGTCTCCGAGTCTTGGACCCCACTGCTGTTTGCTTAGCTCATGTTGTTTCTGTAGGTCCAGCGTCGGAAATGGAAGTTGAAACTTATTGCAGAATTAGAGTCTCGAGTCATGGCTGAGCCCATCCCTCTGCCTGCAGAGTGAGTGTGGCTGCCCACCCAGTCTATCCTATTTAGTAGCAGCAGTGAGTTCCTAGCTTGTTTGGGGTCTTGGTAGTTTTTCTGCCCTTGGGCAGGAATCCTCAAAATTTCCCACTAGGCTGGCTGCCAAAGAGCATGTAACAAAATAGGAAAGATGTATTTTTGATGCCAGATTTCCCTTTTCAGGTCTGTGGATCCCCTATAGTGGTGACAGTAGCATTGGTGGGTGATAATGTAGGTCTCAATATTTAGGTGACAGTTTTTTAAAAAGTGCCCTCTTATTGTACTGCCCTCTTGAACTTAAGAAATGTACAAGTGTTAATGGCAGTCTGAGTTAACACAAGTTTGTACTCAGTTTAATTTATATAAAGTAGCCATACAGAAACACACACTTCCCTTGAAGAAGCTGGGTGTTGGTGGCATCAGAGCTAGTAGTGCTAAGATTACTCCTATGGAGGACACAACCTGTAAACTGATATCCTCACACTGGATCATACCCTTTCTGCCTGATAGGCTTGTTAACTTGCAGCCTGCTTAGGATTGGTTCTGACAAGCATGACTTGCCCACAGCCCTTCCCCTTTTTTCCTTGTAGCCTAATGGAACTGAAAAATCTGGAGTACAGGCCAGTGAAGGTCAGGGGGCATTTTGACCACTCCAAAGAGCTGTACATGATGCCTCGGACCATGGTGGACCCTGTCAGAGAGGCCAGAGATGCTGGCAGAATCTCTTCCTCGACAGAAAGTGGAGCCTATGTAATTACTCCTTTCCACTGCTCTGACTTGGGGTGAGTAGGCCTGGCAGTTTACCCTCACTGCTCAACCAACCTTTAGCCTCTTAGCCAGTTCACTAATAGGGATTTGAGTCAGCAACTGGATCCACAGAACAAACATTTCTGTTGAACTGTCCTATAGATGTTGCAGTGACCATTAGTGATGATTTGTATTGGAACCTTTATTTCTGCTTCAGAGTCACCATCCTGGTTAACAGAGGGTTTGTCCCCAAGAAGAAAGTGAATCCTGAGACCAGACAGAAAGGCCAGGTAAGAGATGGGGCTCTACAGCCTGGGTGACTACAGTAAGTCACCTATTCTCCATGTAGGTAGCACTCCTGTAAAAAGCAATCTCACCTCCCTTTGTAGGTTCTTGGAGAAGTAGACCTAGTTGGGATAGTAAGGCTGACAGAAACCAGGAAGCCCTTTGTCCCTGAGAACAGTCCTGAACAGAACCATTGGCATTATCGGGACCTGGAGGCCATGGCCAAGATAACAGGCGCAGACCCCATTTTCATTGATGCAGACTTCCGTAAGTTGTGCTAGCTTGCCCTGGGGGAAGGAACTGCCCCACCTCCATTTCTTTCCCTGGCATGTCCATCCTGCAGTTTGGGGGCTGGGACGGAAGGAAACATACTTGAGGGTTTTAGGGGCCTGCAGCATTTTTAAACTTCGTTATGCAAAAATGATGGTGCTGAGAATCCCTACCATCTCTACAGAAAGCACAACCCCTGGAGGACCCATTGGAGGGCAAACAAGAGTCACTCTTCGGAATGAGCACATGCAGTACATCATTACCTGGTTAGTATTGCTTTCTTGTTATATGTAGAACCCCACTCCACCCACAGGCTGACCAACTCAATTTCTTTCAATCACAGGTATGGACTGTGTGCAGCCACATCATACTTGTGGTTTCAAAAATTTGTGCGGCGGACACCAGGTGTGTGAAGTTTACAAATCTGTCCCTAATCTAGAGATCACACAAAATAAACACGGTTATTTTTTTTTTTAAAACCCTGGCTTCATCTCATTTTTTAAAATAGGAGACATCACTAGTTTTAAGAACATGCTTGTACCAACCCAAATAACCAAAAACCATTAATTAGATGGAAGATAAATTTGTATTTTATGTACAGAAAACTTAGCAGTGAGTGTACATTTAACCCAGTTTAGTGGCGAGTTCTTTGGCCTTTGCCTTTTCCAGTTTGGCAATTCGAGCCACAGATTTAGGACCCAGGACATTGCCTCCCCAGTGGCGGCGTATCTGAAATGACAGAAACAGCAGTGAGTTTGGTCTGATATCCTCTAATGCACATTATCAGCTAATATCCTAAATTCATTCAGTGTTTACAAGTGGATACTCAATGCCACCAACTGCTTAAGCACCAACCAATCACATGTTCTGTATAGAGCATCTCACCTCATCATATCTGTCATTGTAATTGGTCCTAATAGCTTCCACCAGCTTAGCCAGAGCACCCTTGTCTTCCCTGTCAAGGAAGGGAGAAAGGTCTTATTACTCTTTGGGAAGCAGGAATAACTTTTCCTACTTTTTTTTTTTTTTTTTTTTTGCCTCAGACATAGTTATGACCACATAGCTGATTCAGGTGAAGAAATTCTTAACCATCATTGGCAAATGGTCCCAAACCTGGGAAGTTAAGGGAAGCTTAGGGACAAGCCTAAATACTCACGAGTTAACCTGTGTGAAGGCAACAGTGGTACATGTCTTCCTGTGGACCAGCCGTCCCAGCCTGGCCTTTCCCTTGATGATGCAGTAGGGGACCCCCATCTTGCGACACAGTGCAGGCAGGAAGACCACCAGCTAGAAGCAATCATGAGCTGTAGGTAGGCCTTTGTAGTAGAAGTAGAAGCTACAGTGCTACTTTGTGGCAAATGCTCAGGGTTAAAAAGCTCATATAATTGCACATCAAAGCTACTTCAGTCAAAGATTCACATCATTGCAAGAGCCACAAATAGATTCCCCCTTTACATATTCAGCAAAACTGACTCTACGATTCCAGAAGCAACACAGGACCTGGGTTCTGTGCTTGATGCTTAAAAATCACCAGACCTACCTCAATGGGGTCTACATCATGGGCGATCACCACCAGCTGAGCCTTCTTGTTCTCCACCAAGGTGGTGACTGTATTGACTCCTGGAACACACAACCACTTTGCCTGAGTGCTTGGTTTGGGCTGCCATTCACAAAAAGGCAGCTCCACCAAGCTGTGACTCAGGGTTAAAAAGCTCGATTTCATTCTTCACAGTGACTTCAGGTGAAGAAATTCACACATCACCGCACAGCCTGCTCCACACCTGTCTTTTCCCAGGATGCCACGTACCTGCTCGAAGGACAGGAGGCCTCTTAGTTGGGACATCCCCTTTGCCAGCAGCTTTCTTCTCAGCACGGGCCAACAGTCTTTGCTTCTTCTCCTGCTTTGTCTCTGGCCTGTACTTGTGGGCAAGCTTAAGCAGCTGGGTAGCTAGGAAAATATTCTTCAATTAAGACTCTACACTTGAATTTTTTCTTTAGGTATGCTATGTAGCCTCTTGCTGTGTGCTGTGGTTACTTGGCAAGCAACCTCATGCTCGGGCCCAATTCTAATCTGTCACATAAAAGGCATTACAGGCAGCAAGGTGTTGGTGGCAAACGCCTTTAATCCCAGCACATTGGAGGCAGATGGATCTCTTGTGAGATTGAATCCAGCCTGGTCTGCAGAGCTAGTTCCAGTACAATACAGAGAAACCCTGTCTTGCAACCCCCCCCCAAGGCATTACAGGCCTGTTTAAACAAAACCCATCATTGGGGTACATCCCAGCACTTCGGAAAGCAGGATCTTTATTTCAAAGCCCATCTGGGTTGATACATCAATGCCAGAACTCCAGAACCAGGACTCACACACAAAAACAACCTTGTGTGGTACGTGCAGATGAGACGGCTAGGGGTCAATGTTTGGTGCCTTTCCCCAACTTTTGAACTGTTTGCTGTTTCAGGAAGTGACTGGGGACACCTTTCAACCCCTCCTGCACTCTCAAAAAACACCCTTTCTCCTGAAGCTACCAGTCAGTCGCATTATTAACATTTTAGAGCGATGGGGCACTGTAAAAAGGGCAAACTCAGGTCCATTTTCATTCTCTGGAAACACGAAGCTGGCCCTGTGACACAGAAGCTCACCTGTTTGCCGGTCCAGGGCCTGGGTGAACTGGTTAATGGCAGGAGGAACTTTGAGACGCTTATAGAGGATGGCCCTTTGCCGCT